AAGAAGAAAAGGAAAAGAAGAGAGAAAGAAGAAAAGAATGTTTTGTTTGCTGACACGTGTTCCTAAAAACTCTCTAAAAATCGGTAACGGAAGTCACCATTTAAGGATCGGTAATTGCTATTTTCTTTTATTTTGATTTAATTAAATGTACTTAAAAGTCTAAGAAACCCATTAAGGATTGCCGATAATCATGGTCTAACCCACCGACGAATAATCCCATTATAATCATTAAATTAAGGAAAATGTTTTTTTTTCTCTTTTTGTTCTTTCTAAAAGACAAGCTTTGAGACACAGTTGGTCGTTAATGACAGCTTGTGTTTATTTTTTACTAAAACCCAAACCACACCCTTCTGTCTTTCTGTATTTGAATATGCTTTTATTTAATAAACATTTTTGGTTAGTTTCTAATCATATATTCTTTTCACTCAATCATCTACCAAAAGTTAATTATGATGTTGTATTGCAGGTAAATTGATGGAGGTAGCTTGTAAAATGATGGGATCACGGTTTACCTCGTGCCAATGATTTTACACATTCTGAGCGAAACAAAATAAGCCAGAGCTTTCAAAATCTTGAATCTGTAAACATCTAAAGAACAGAATTGAATACGTAAATGATGTGATTTTTGGTTCGTTGCGATTTTCACGTTCTTTTTGTAATTTTATATTAAAACTATATAAAAACACGGACGGTAGATTTTGATTAAGTTTGCTAAATGATGAAAAAAAAGAAGATTAAGTTTGCTAAATGCGTGAAAAAGGCAACGAGAGTTTGAAACATCTAGAACTGGACAAAGTACTCAAACATCTAGATCAGGCATAAAAAAATGTACATCTCTACAATATTATTTGAGAAGTCACTTTTTTAGGTGGCGCTCACTTTAACTCTTACGATTGTTGATTACTGTGATACCCCTAATGAATTAAAAATATATTTAAATATTATTATTTCCTTTTTAAAATCTTCCAAATAACAATATAAAACAAAAATGAAATATTTATAAAATTTAAAAAACTATTTAAAAACGAAAAAATAAATATATATAATATGGTTTCATAAAAAAAGAAAATTTACAAAATAGTAATATTTAACTTAAATATATTTTTAAATAACATAAATTATCTTTTTTAAGTAATTATACTTTATATCAATATCTTCTTAGATGAAAAAAAAATATTTGTATATTATGTGTTTTCATAAAAAAAAGTTCATAGAAATAATCTTGATATTAGAAAAAAATATTTTTCTTTTAAAAAATAATTTAAACAATAAAATATATATTTTCAAAGTAATTAGTTTTTGTATATATCTATCTATTTTATTAGATGAATACATAAAATAATTAAGTAACAACTGATATATGTTTAATTGACAAAAAAAATATAATTAGTATATTTATTTGATTATAATATCTTGCGGTTACAACAAAAAATATAAATTATATTTTACTTATATAATATATTTTCTCAATAACAATCACATTTTTACTGCATATTTTAAGAGATATTAAAACAAACTAAAAATAAATTTAATAATAAACATCTTTTGATCAAATAACTACAATTCTTTTAAAATATCATAACACTATATAGTTTAACGAGATAGATATATTATATTTTCATAGTTAAAATTATATGTTTTCTTGATAACTCTCTTGATGTTTAGTTTTCTATTTTTATGTTTGTGGAATTTAATATAAACATAATCAAAATACTTAAGCAAATCAGAATTCATTATTTTAAAAATTATTTAAAATAAATTTCAGTTTACCATCCAATCAATCTAAGGCATAAATTATTTAAAATTTATAAAATATTTAATTATTGTAAATATTGATATGTGTTCATAAGCTTACAAAAAATATTATTACTTATGTATGTAATTTATAATCAGACACTTTAATTTTTTTTTTCGTTCTAAGCACAAAAAATCTTAAAATACATAATCTTACTAAGATATACTTATATTTATAAGATAACAACCAACATAAATATAAATAAAACAATTAATCAAAACTTTAAGATATTTAGAATAAAAAAAATATAGTTGAATTCGGAGAAATAGATAAAACCCAATATATATATATATATCCAAACGATAAAACTAATTAAATATAATATATCTGAAATTATATATAACTAAAATAATATAATATTATTAATATAAATTATACATAAAAACTATAAATTAATATAAAAGTTAAAATAAATATCAATCAACTATTATAATATATTTATGTTATAAATATTTATGCATGTGCCTGAGCACGGGAAAATCACCTAGTAAACATGAAAACCGGAAATCTTTGAACGGCTTTAAGATTTTTGTATACGACATATCAAAATTAAACTTGAACCAAATTGAAATATTTGGATATTGTAACATATCCGAATCTCCTTTATATGTTCAAATATATTAATTATTTATCAGTCTATAATATCTAAAATATTCAAAAGTACTTAGAAATGTTTAAAATACTCAAAAAATATCAAAATAACAAAAAAATATTTGAAAATAAATAAAGTTACTTAAAAGACATGAAATATACTAAATATTGTTTGTTTTCCATCCAAATATCCGAATCAGACCAATTTCTATGTTACTTTAGGTATTTAGCCATGCATACTCAAATTTATATGTTGTATATTATTATAAATTTTAGATTTTAAAGTTAAGAGGTATAAGTACATTTGAATTTTCGCATTTATTTACATATTTTAAATGGGTATCTGAACTTGAATGAAATTTAAATCTGAACAGATTCATTAGACTCGAACAAATATACGAATGTCTAATATACGATATACACATCTTGTTATATAAAGCTTGGTTTTTCAAAGTTACTAATTAACAAAATTGTGACACATGGAAATTCTATATTTATGATTGTGACAAGTGTTGAACTAATTAATAATTAATATATATATATATATATATATAGATAATAATAAAAATGGAATTTGTTAAAAAAAATAATTAAAATATTAGTAATAGTAAATTACATTTTAAAAATCCTAAATAAAAGATATTTACAAAAACAATATTTGGTTTTGCTTAAAAAATAATTAGAAATATTATATATTAGTAATTTTCCGTTTTTGAAATCCTATATAAAAGATATTTATAAAACAAATATTTGATAGCAATTTTCCATTTAATACTGTGACATGTATTAAAATTCTCATGATTAAAAAAATATATACTAAAAAAATAAAAAAGAATTTAGAATATATTAATTTAAAAATTCTTTAAAATTAAAAGAAAAAGAAGCTAAAAGTTTTTCAATGTAGTTTTCCTTTTTAAAAACCCTAAACAAAAATATTTAAAATAAAAATTGAATTTTGAAAATAATAACTTTAAATATTTTTTAAAAGTAAAAAAAGTAAAGAGTGTTTAATTGTAATTTTCCTTTTTCACAAATCCAAAACAACAAAGTATTCGTAAATATATTATTATCAATTTTCTTTTTTAAAATCCTATAGAAAATATTATTTGATAGTAATTTTTATATTAAAATTTTTATATAGTAAAAATATATCATATCAACAAAATCTATATACAAAGGTAATGAAAATGATTTTACAGATAAAATTAATTTTATAAATTATTTAATAGCAAAAATATTTTAAAAACATTTAGACAAAAAAATGATTTGCAAAATAATATATTTGATACTAACTTTCCTTTTTAAAAATTATGAAAAATGTATTTGAAAAAAAAAGTTTTATAGTAATTGTCCGTTTCTAAAATCTTGAACATACGAGAATTATTAAAGAATGTTTAATAGTTTTTTAAATCCTAAACAATTTTTTTTGTAAAATAATTATTTAACCTATTTTTATCTTCT